CGCGGCGTCCCTGCACGTTTCGTCTTCTGTTGTCGAGTTGCTCGTCTGATATGTCAAAGCCGCTCGACTGCTCTGCCGAAGTTTATGCTCGACCTGCTCGACAGCTCGCGTCCTGTCCATAGGCGGCAGTCGGCAAGCTGTGCGATTTGCTACAGGGAAGCACGCTAATGGCCTCAGGGCTTGCCTATGATGTCGCCCTCACTGATGATAACCCCACCAAACTCTTCTATGCTACAGTGGTTCACAAACGCAGCTCCCCTTTACACCTCGCAGATAGTCTGATATTCTCGCAGATATACCATGATTCTGTTGCAGGACATGGAGATTGCAATATCATCAAAAAAGTAGAGAAAAAGACGGACAAATTAGCAATATTCTTCTCTGACGCTGAAATTTAAACTCGTGCAGGAAAATACAAATTTATACTATTTGAAAAGTTCCAATTATGTTGCCCTAAGTCGGAGATTATCAGCAAACTAGTTGTGGATTGGTAAATGGGTCTTATGTAATCAGCATAGAAGAAGATTACATAAGAATTTTCTCAAAGAAATTCATCACAATCGAGGGCAAATATATGAAATTGCTCAAATGGACCACTAATTTTGATCTCAGTCAAAAATCCCCATTTGGACATTTTTGGTTCTCATTATTTGAACTCAAGCTTCAATTCTTTGACCTACCTACCTTATATTCAATTGGGACTATCCTTGAAAAACCTTTGCAAGTAGACTTACATATAGTTCATTTCTCAATTCCCTTTACTGCAAAAATTTTGATTGAAAGAGATATTAAACTACCAGATATAGAAAAAGTCTAGCTTGATTCGGCTCACAATGGTTATTGGCAAAAAATCATTATAGAACAGAAACCTTAGTACCGCAAGCACTGCAAGGTGTTTGAACGCCTGCATGAGAAATGTTTCATATTGCACTCACAGTTGAGAATCAATAGTCAAAAGCAGGAACGTGTTATTAGTGAACCCCACGTGCTTAAACACGCTCCCAGCAAACCTGATGACAGACAACCTGATGAGGGAATCACCACAAGATAGGAGTTGGAGTCGCCCTTGGGATCCCTTCTTCTGACCATACTAAAACGAATAATATTCAGACCGAAAATCAGAATAGCCCCGCAACTCCAATTCAAGAAACATCAGGTGCAGAGGTGACAATTCACACTTTACATACACTGGAACCTATTGTTGTGACAATTATTGTCTTTCCTTCTACTACGGTTGTAATATCTAATCAGATCGAGGATCACATGAGCCAGTCTTCAGGTGAAGAATGACAGGTTTATACTTCTCGGCAAAAGAAGAATGTTGGGGCACACTCCAACTTGAAAACTTAATAAATGATACTTTAGTTACTCCTGACAATGACACGACTCTTCAAAGTTTGTTATTTTGCTCCGCTCTTAAAACTAAAGGAAGAGGCATGACTAAACTGGCTCGTCCCTAGCTATTTGTTTTCTGCATTTTTTTTTTGTCTATCTGTATCTTTTTTATTTCAATATAATAAGCATTGGGCTTTACAAAAAAAGAAATATATATATATATTTCACTTTTTAATAGTAAAAATAGTGTTGATGCTTGTCAGAAAATTCGCGACGGTTGAGTAATTAATTATTATCTTAACGTTGAACAAGAATGAGGCACACACTTAAATAAGAAAAGTAACAAGCAGAGACACCAGAAGTTTTACATGAAAAACCTGGTATAGGAAAAAACTACGGGACCCAACCCATTCAAAAATAATACACTATAACTTGTTAAGTACAAACCCTTGCCTCATAGACGGGAAATGACCACACAGTTATAGTGTTTGTATGCAGGACTCCTTGGACAATAATCAGGAGCGGTTGTAGTTGTTGGAAATTCGGTAAACCGACTATGAATGACGTCACTACACAGTGTTCGAAACGATGCACTGATCCGTAGAATGCTTAGCTGCTTTGTAACGTTGTTCGCTACTCCGCACAGTGTTTTGGTACTCCACGATGTTTGTTGCTACTCCACAGTGTTTTGTTACTCTACAATGTTGTTCGTTGTTTAGCAAGGTGTTTCGTTACTCCACTCTGCATAGTGCTTCATTGCAACGAGTAGTAGACGGTCGACAGTAGTCAACGGCGGTCGGCAAGCGATAGCTGATGGTGGTGGCAGCGACATGAGGGGGTAGCGTTCATTGGATATTCGGTGCAGAGCATGAGACTTCAGCTCCTTCATTTCTTAATCCTCATCCAACTCAAATCTTAGTCTCTCTTTCATGAAAGAGATGGGACTCTATTTATAGAGTCTACGAGAAGACTTCCAGAAAATAAGAAAAGAAATCAAACCACTACATCGAACAACCCAAATAAATCCAATTAATCAAACGACATTTTGTGGACATTTGAGTGTCGAACAATGTCGAAATTTGAGAGATATTGGGAACGTTGGATTCGTCACAACGAGACGCTTGATCAGATTAAAAGCTTGTCAGAATTGAAATTTGTTTAACATTCCAATTGGGCACTAGAAACTTTCAAAAATGGTTTAATGGCTCCATCTGGGCTTGATTTGACTCGGATTAAACCAACTTTGGTGTGATTGTGTTCGTCTCATCGAGTCTGTCAGTTTGACAAAGAGTTCTTGATGATTTTGAATTAAAGATTGGCATTCCTTAACAAAAACTAATTGAAATTCATGTCATGCCCCGAGATCTGTGTCAGATAATGAAAATTTGATGGTGTATAAGATGTCCCTGTTTTTTTAGATGAGGCTAATTTGTCATCTGAAAATACAAAAATTTTGTGTGTGGAAGTGGAGCCATAGATCAGGCTCCATAGCGAATCGCACTGGCTAGAACAGGTCGCACAGATCCAATGTCCCTAAACTGAGCAGGCCACAAGCACTTAAGGGAGTTCTCTGGCGGTGTGTCGAACTTTTTTTTACGGCTAACAACGTAAACGATTCACGAAATCCGATTTAACGTACGCAGGTGTTGTTCAGCCATATAATGCAAATTGAAGGATTTGCAGTAGT